TAACAAGTACACTCGTAAGACTCTTAGGAGAGGTATACATCTCCTTAGAAACACAGTCTTTTTGACAGAAAAAGGGGGGATCCGAGGATCGCTTAGAACCCGATTTTCCCAGGTCATGGGGGGATCATGATGATCGCTTAAGTCCCCATTTCCTTAGACATGCATTTCTTTATAAAGAGTCTAAATAAGTGTTGTATTGTATTGATTTAAATTATTGAAAATAATCAATACGATTAACAATTAAGTAAATTATTGTACAAACAAATAAATTACTTTAACAAAATACAAATTACAAGTGATGATAAATAATATGTACCTTGTGGTCGTTCCAAACGTCTCTTGAACGATGATTTGCTTGATCGTATAAAACTGTCGGATCAATGGGTCCTTGCTCAACATAATATCGTTGATTAAAAATATCAACATCCGGCCCAACCTACGATAGCATAACAATAACACAAATCATTAGTATATAAATTAAATAAATCATTATAACAACAACAACAATTGGGAAAAATGAGTACGTATCGTTTGAAAATCATAAAAAAAGGCCCTCTTCTTGAGCGAAATCGACCATTCTCTCGGAATCCGGACAGAGGTTCGACGGTTTTTTAGTGAAAACCAAAGAAAAGTTTTTTGGAGGCAGATCGGACTTAGGCCGCAACCAACAAAAAAACGTTTCTAAGGTTTTTGGGTGGGGAGGGGAGTGGATAGGGAGAAGTTAGAGGGAGAGAGGGGGGAATGAGGTTGGTGTGCAGAAAAGTGAAGGGGGAGGGGGTTTATATGGGGTACAAACCGCGTCCCCGAGGGCCATTTCGTCAATTTTTTCCAACGAAAACCTCGTCTCGGAGACGCGGTTTGGTTCTCCCGAACAGTCAACCGCGCCTCGGGGACGCGGTTTGATTATCCCGAACAGTCAAACCGCGCCTCGGGGACGCGGTTTACTTGGCCGACGCGGATCACCGAGCTGGCACACGTTTTGGCCGTTAGATCGCTCTCCCAGCGAGCGGTTTAATGAACCGCCACGTGGACACGCGGTTTGACAGCCATGCAAGGTCAAACCGCTCCTTGGTGGCGCGTTTTGTGATAAAACCGCGCCTCTAGGCTGCGGTTTCATTGAAAACCGCTCATCAGAGGGGCGGTTTTATATAAACGATGGTATTTTTGGAAATTATTTGGTGAGGGTGGTATTTTTGTAATTTTTTTTAAACAGTGGTAGTTTTGGATTTTTTCCGAAATGTTAGGAGGTGGTGTCAACTTTTCTCAATCGAATAATACTTGAAAGGATTTTTCTATATAATATTACAATAAATTCAAATTAATGTAATGCAAGCAAACACTACTTGTTTATGTTAAAAGAAGAGATATATCGGCTGAACCGTTCAAAACTAATAAAGCAAAACTAATTCGTGTAGCCAACACATAAAGTTTTGTTAAAGAAACTCTCAAGAGGGATATGCGATATTGACTGGAGTCCTTTCAAAGTCATTCCAGTCGTGCAAATGAAACATAAGCAAAAGAAAGCTTGTGTTCTTTTTGAGAAAGGATTATAGGTATAATATTTCTCACTACTATGTTGTTTTATTAAACATGTCTTTCTAATATTTTTTACATCAAACATTGCCCCTGTAATGGATTTTGAAAACGTTTTTCATTCATACAATCACAATTTTTTGCGAGTTAAAGATAAAACACATACATTACATCGTAAGCAAACATACATTTAGATAAGCAAACACATATAATTACATATCACCCTATTTAGGTAGACTTAAGATTCTCAGGCGGCGTAACGACATGGTTTTAGGGTGGCTTTTGGGATTGTTTTGGATGGTTTAAGGTCTCTATGCTTACTATATGTTGGTAGAAGAATTTCTAGGGATTTGGCTCCCAAGTTGTATCCTCCCATAGCTCTTTTGAACTGGCTAGATACCTTGAGATCAACCTGGAATCTGAATTCAACTTGATTGGAAAGTTTGGCGTGACTACCAGTATTGTGGATGTCACGATACTCCTTTCAATTTTCTAAAGGGATAGCTCGGGCATAGAGCTTTTGTGCATGAATGCAAAATTTAAATTGCAAAAATATAATTGCGCAAATAAATAGTAAACACCCAACACGTAATAGAAAGTTAGAAAACTTATCGAATTTAATTATGTAGCTCGACTCTCGAAGCATCCCCAGCGGAGTGGCCATCTGTCACAACCGTTCCTCGGGTCAGGTCGTGTTTGCTTATGGAGCCTCCATTGATCTTACTTAGAGTGGATCGAACACTCTTCGGAGGGCTCTAACCTTAGGTTAGAACCGCGGCTGGGTCTGCGATTAAGAGATATGGGATCGGGAGTACGGTTACGTGTGGGAAAGTTAAGCAACACCCCCACAACGCCCTAAATCGGTACTACTTAAGTTGATAAGTTTATATGAGTTGAGTGTTTTTAATAATTATTGGTGTTTGTAGGGTCCTACTGGACCGCTAAACAGTTTTATCGTATTAGCTTATGATATTACTATACACCCACTAGCGTTTGTTTAAAGATAAAAAAAATTTAGTTAGTTGGACTCAAATCTTATCGGTTGTCTACGTCCCCTTAATACGGGTTCAAAGTCCACATAGTTCGTTAAAACTTTTGTGTTTTAATTAGGGTTAATATATTTGTATGGCCTGAACTTTTCACATATTAAACATCATGGTCAATCTTTTCGATCTATAACATTATGGCCTGAACTATGCATAAAAGTTATGAAATTGGCCAAACTCCAAGTTCTTTTTGAATTGTCACATCACTTAGTTAACGGTCAACCATGAGAGTTGATTGCCACATCAGCAAAAGTTAATAGAGACTAACGGCCGGTGACCAAACTTGGACTATTAATCTAATTTAAGTGACTATGGATGGAATAATTTAATTTTAGTGGCAAACGTGAATTTCTAAAGCAATTCTAGTGACCAAACTTGTAATTTACCCCATAAATAAGCTTTATTATTATTTGGCAATTAAAAAATCAGTTGCCTTATACAAATTAAGCTTTTTATACGCTGTTGGAAATAAAAGAATTATTTCCTTTAATCCTTTGGTGGGCACGTATTTGGCAAAGTTTTGGGTTATTTAATGGGTGTTGCTATTCGTCGCCCTAACTAAGTTAAATTTACTTTAATTCCCTTAATTCATTTATTTGTTTGTCGAACACATAAATCCCAAAATAAACTCATGTAATAATTAATTTAATCTAAGTACCATAATTTTCAGAGAGGCGGGGAATCACCATGTGAGTATTGCATTAAGCATCTACGGTCCTAGCCTCAAGAAATGGTTTCTGGAAATACAAGCACATTTGATCAACATACAACCATGCGTTTACATTGTCCAAGGCATTAATGACAATAGTCAAAGTTTCCCAGAAGGTGTCATCAAAGACATTTTATGTCTGCAGACCTACGCGGTTTTGTAGTGCTTTATCCATGAGGATTATTGATGCAGCAGCAGAAGCAGCAACTGTGGATTTGGCCTGATCGATGTTCTAATCCCGGCAAAGAAACTGCCTACTTAGATTTCTCTTCTCTATCACATCATCGTCGATTATAATGAGTTTTGCTTCTTCGCCTCACGAGACTCCCTCCGTCTTCTTTCTTCGTCCTTCGGTTCGGGGTTTGTTGGCGTGAGGGAGATGGGTATGTCGGCGGGAGGGTTCTGGGTTAGGTGGCGGTGGATTTCCAGAAGGTGAGTGTTGCTGGCGTCGAGCGCGAGATGCCTGCTACCTTTTGTTGACCGAATTCACCTGCAAACCCTAACTCGGCCTTTTGCTTTGATCAGTGAAGAATGAAATGAGAATGATGAAATCAACCCGATGTAGTGAACTAACAGAGAAGCATAACCTAAAGGGCTTGAGTAAAGTGGGCTCGTTTTACTTCGGCCCAGTACTGAGCTAACCTCGGTTCGGCCTGGCTGAACTAGAAATTTCCTTCACACAAAGCTGTGCGTTTTGACAACAGCTTTCTCGGTTTAACCTTTGTCCTAGAGGATTCAATTCCCCTGTTCCTAAATCAAACACCGAGTTCTAAAAACAGAGTCAATCACAAGTAGAATGCAGAATTATAAAATCAGACTCAAACAATTTTTACGTGGCTTCCAGAGCTGGGTAAAAATGATCCCCAACTCTGACTAATCCACTGACGAGATATCACTGTTGTGTGATTCTCGCCAATTCACTAAGATTGTTGATTTTGATGCTCCGATTCAGAGTTACACTCTTATGCTCGATTAGCCCACCAATCTTGGAAGGATAATCCAAAGATCACTATGCTCCTTGCTACACAGCTATCCAGCCACTGTAGAACTAACCCCACCCTCTGATACACTATCAATCCTGATCTTGTGTTTAGAGCCACTTTTCTTTTCACTCGTTGCCTACAAACTCCCTTTGTAATCTTGAACGAGAATCACCCAGAAAAGCTGCTCCACCTCCTTAGCTTTGTGCTTTTTGTACTTCACCTCAGCTAGCCGTTAATCTCCAAGCGAGGTAATTCTCCTTCATTTTGAATTCCTTTCCTTATGAGCTTTTCTTGAGTTGATTCATTTGCTGTATCAAATCAGCCACCCTTGCAGGAGATCTTTCTTTCCTTCTGCAAAAACTTGCTGCCCACGCTTTCTCCTTCTGCCTCTGTGGTTAATGACTGGCTTCCTCACAACATTCTCCCCCTAAGCCAGTCAATGATCCCTTCAGTTGAAATTGCAGTTCTTGCACACACTTAACACACAGTAACGTGTAGATTGTTTTAAACATATTGAGAATACAAGATTAACACACACCTTCAGATAACAACGAGGGAGTTTATTTATTCGCAACTAAAACCACACATCACAATTATTCAAACAAGGACTCACTCACACTGAGCTTTATTGACGACATAAACAACTGCCAATTCTAAAAACCAAACCAGACTCTTTTAACCTAAACTCTGCTAAGAAAGATCAAACTCCCCCTACGAGTAATATCCATCCTAGAAGTCATAGTCTGGTAACTGAACATAATCCAAGATGGCATCTTCATCCTCCATCATCGGATTCCTGCTGCTGCTAGCCTCCCCTTCCTGTCTAAACATGGCTTGAATAGCCTCTAAAGGGTGCACCATTGGTTGTTTTCCTTTGTCTCTTACTGCTTCAACCAGGTCAGCTATATCAGGTGTTTCTTCAGCTTTATTGACATCAAGATCCGCAAGATAAAGACCATCTTCATGTGAAGGAACTGCATCATCAGCTGCTTCTCCCCCTGGAGCATTGACTCGAGGACCACGTCGACCAACAGATGCATCAACTTTGCGGAGCACAAACTGAGCACGAAGTGAGCTCAGCAGATCCACACGAGCGACCTTAAATAGCAGATCCAGGCCTAAGGCCAGCAGAAGTTGAGTGATCTGAGGGGCAAAGAGAAGTTCACACTCATAATGTTCGTCGTGGTAGTTCATCATATGATCAAACATCAAATGAGGATAACTAATGACTCGATTCTCCTTGGCACTAGCGAGAATCCACAAATCTGAAGGATAGATTGTGGTGAGACCATGAGAATGAGGAAGAAAGAACCGAGTTATATAGAAGTGCAAGACTTTGAGGTCGTCAGGAAGCCTTCCAGAGTGGAAGTCGGAGGGATAGTAGCGACCAGTATCCCGGGTGTACAGCCGAAGAGCATCACCCTCATTGAAGTCAACAGAGTGAAAGTCAGATTCATTCAGAACTTCTGCACCCGCAATGGGGATTCCAAGAAGAATAGACAGCAGTTCCACATTGATGGTTATCAGATAGTTATAAACTATCATAGTGAAACAAGGCGGATAGATATGAAAACTTGGTTTCATGTTTGCATAGAACATCCTCACTGCCTCAGGATGAAAACCAAAGTTCTTGTTAGGAAGGATTTCTCCCCATCCAATGGAATTGATCAGGCGAGGGACATCCATCCCATACCTGTTGAATCTGGAAGGATCAAGAGTGATGGAAGGACACAGAGGTCGGTCTTGAAAATGACGAAGATAGCGAGCATAACCTGCAGCATCTTCAAAAACTTTTCCATTGAAAATGGCAACTTGAGCCAGGCGAAGAGGCACCATATGCTGATTTGAGCCAGCCATGTTTGCTCAGATGAGTATTGGTTGAGTCGAAGACTGGATTTGAAGTATAATGAGAATGTCTAGGATCCTAGGTCTTTTTATACATGGACACAGGGGGGAAAGAAGGAAGGTAGGAACGGAATATGGTAGGAAAGGAATATGGAAGGACTTGATCCTAAAGTATCGTCATTTGATAGAAAAGGAAGTCTCGAATTACCTATTTAGAATAGGGTTTAAGACAGGGGAGGAGCAACGTCACTTAGGGAGAAGATACCTAGTTCTCTTCGAATGTGAAGGAAGGATTCAGAGCCCAAAGGCTTTGTAAAGATATCAGCCCATTGATACATTGTAGGAACGAACTCAAGATGTATTATTCCATCTTGGACCAGTTCTCTAATGAAATGAAACCTAATCTCTATGTGTTTTGTTTTAGAATGTTGAACATGATTTTTTGACATGTTAATTGCACTTGTGTTGTCACACATCACAGGTAGAGATTCAAATTTTAATCCATAATCAAGTAGTTGGTATTTCATCCAAAGCAACAAAGTGCAACAACAACCTGCTGCAATGTATTCCGCTTTCGCGGTTGACAGAGCAACAAAATTCTGTTTTTTGCTAAACCAGGCAACCAATGAGGATCCCATAAAATGGCAGGTACCAGATGTACTTTTCCGATCCACTGTGCACACAGCATAGTCAGAATCAGTATAGCCTACTAATTCTAAACTGGATTCACAAGAATACCAGAGACCCAATTCTACAGTACCAGGCAAATATCTAAAGATCCGCTTGACAGCAGATAAGTGACTTTCCTTGGGTGCACTCTGGAAACGAGCACAGACACATACACTGTAGAGGATATCACGTCTACTAGCAGTCACATACAGGAGAGATCCAATTAAATCCCTATACAATTTTTCATTTACTGGAACACCAGACTCATCTTTATCAATTTTTAAGGAAGATGCCATGGGAGTGACAACAGTTTTTAGATTCCCAAACTCGAAACGTTTTAGCATATTTTGAATGTATTTGGACTGACATACAAAGATACCCTTAGGTGTTTGTTTTATTTGTAACCCCAGAAAGTAATTTAGCTCTCCCATAAAGCTCATCTCAAAATTAGTTTTCATGAGTTTCTCAAACTCTAAACACATCTCCTTACTAGTTCCTCCAAAAATGATGTCATCGACATACACTTAAACTAGCAGAAGTTGACCTGACTCTCTCCTAAAAGAATAGAGCTCAGTTTATCATACCATGCTCTAGGAGCTTGTTTTAATCCATATAAAGCCTTCTTTAATTTATACACATGATTTGGATATTTTTGATTTTCAAAGCCTGGAGGTTGAGCAACATATACTTCCTCTTTCAAATCCCCATTTAAAAACGCACTCTTAACATCCATTTGATAGAGTTTTATTTTAGAGGCACTGGCGAAGGCACACAACATTCTAACTGCTTCAAGAAGAGCCTCAGGAGCAAAAGTTTCGTCAAAATCTATTCCCTCCTCCTGATTGTAGCCTTGTGCTACCAGCCTTGCCCTATTTCTGGTTATTATCCTTACTTCATCCGTTTTATTTTTGTAAATCCATTTTGTTCCTATAATAACTCTGTTTTCGAGTTTAGGTACCAGTTCCCACACATTTGCTCTCTCAAACTGGTGCATTTCATTAAACATAGCAGCAGTCCAGAATTCATATAGCAATGCTTCATTTACTGACTTAGGTTCAATCAGAGACACAAAAGCAGTATGAGATGGCAGAGCCTTTGATCGAGTAAGCATACCTTTGTCGATTGGACCAATTATTTGATCAGGAGGGTGTCTCTTGACAATATGTGCAGGAGGTTGATGATCTACAGGAACAGAACTTGCCTCTACTGCACTGTTTTCCCCTTTTGATTGAGGGTTCTGATCCTGATGATCAGATTCTGGTTGTTCAGGCACCATCTCCTCAAGAGTTTGACTTTCTGCAGTCGGATCTGTGACAGAAGTAGGCATTCTCCCCAGACCAAAATCATCATCATCTGGTAACTCTGTAATCTCAACAATAGCTTCATCAAATACCACATTGATGGACTCCTCAACCTTGAGGGTGCGTTCGTTCAATATTCTGTAAGCCTTGCTGGAGTTAGAATACCTCAGAAACACAGATTCATCTGACTTTGCATCGAATTTACCCCAAATTATCCTTAGTGTTTGTAACACCCTACCCTATACGTTTTGCCTAATCATATTGTTTATACAATTGCAGCGGAATTAATCTTGGGTGTTACATTAATTATCAAAATTTACCCAAATAAAATTTTGACATGAATTACTCGCGTAATGGGCTAACAGTTCTTGCAACTTATCCTGCAAAATAATTCATCACAAACATATATACTCACAACCATATGCCTTGGCTTTTCATAGCCATAGTCACAGTTTCATACTACCCAACTGCATACTATACTGATACATGCTATAATCATCACAACTTACATAATTACACAATATACGCATATCATCAACTTTCCACACCTGTGGATATCTCATACTACATCAGAAGCTCGTATGCACATGAAAAACGTTCTCAAAACATTTTTACAAAAAGGTGTGGATCACTAGCCAAAATCCCGAGTAGTAGTCCAAACACAGAATAGTTGAAGACCATACCTCATCCTGGCTTCAACTCTAGCTCCTCTCCCACCTAAAACTTATCTACTGCTGCTGCTGATGATCTGCTTACACATAGCATAAGCAGAGAAAAAGAATAAAAGAGGGTCAGCTCATAGCTGAGTGAGATAATCATAGCATCGTGAGTTCATAACAGAGCATACCCCTACCATACATCTAGCAAACAAGCCAAAGCACTAGGATCAGACCTCAGCCATCCGACATCCCAATAGACAAAAGACTCAACCACCTTGACTTATCCATATGCATCTTATCATGTTTTACTTATAGGCGCCTGGCTACTCCCATGCTAATAACTCTCCCGGGAAAGATACCCCACATCCCGTCGGATGTAGTCATACATACCCCAACATCCCGTCGGATGTGGTCATACATACCCCACACCACTATGGGTGTAGTCATACCCCGACATCGCTTTGGGTGTGGTCATATCTCGTAAGAATTCTTCAGTCACCACCACATTAGAGGTGTGACTATCATACATATCATAATAGAGTAATAGCATAGGGAGCCCTAATTACTATGTAGTTGACCGTGAGACCACAACACTCATATTTGGTATCCTTATACATGATTCATATCTCATCTTGCTTAATCATAATTCATTACTTGCACATGTACTTGACCTGACCATAATTGGCTCAACATAGGTAAATCAGGACTCTTATAATTGTACTTCCTCGGGATAACCCCTCGTGCAAGTCATCCTCCTTAAACATCATAATATCACCCTGGGAAATTTATTTCCCCCACTTGTGAATCCAAAAATAACCACAATATCACATCATGTCAAAACACCTGATCGAACAACCATGAAGTCATATCAAAAGTTAAGCCACAAATGGCAACATTAATGCAATCATCAACATAAACAAGGTCCATATCGGCTAGGGCAAGTCAATAATATCATACAACAATCCATGATTCATTATATAGCATAAAAGTCCATACACCCCTAATCATGTCATTCTAATTCATCTAGGTCAATTCTAAGCATCAATATAATTATCGTGATACGACAAACCCGGTATGCCGTGCTAATCCCTCACCAGTTCTCGTCGTTCAAACACCGGTTCTAGCCTCCCGTACCCCAACTTCAATTTCTCAAACAAACCCGGAATCAAAATCCGAGATTGTCCTAATATCCCCTGTAGTATCCCCGTCAATGTTAGTTCTAGGCTCCGGGTCAAATTCTCGATAAAAACACATCAAACCCTGGTCGGAGCTAAATTCAGCGATCCCGACTCCGACCTAAATAATAGCCGAAATTCATGGATTAGAACTAGAGGATTGATTACCTCGCTGCAGGAAGCTCGTATATGAAATCTGGACTTAATTCGTCCTCCGAATCCTCCAAACCTCCCAATTCCTTCGATCGGGAAAACCAAGAAATTTTTATCCGAAACTTAGATATAAGCCCAGAAATTGAAGAACTAGGTTGGATAGAAGTGTACCTGTCGATTGTGTAATTTTCCTACAGCCAAAACCCTAGAAATTACCTTCGCTGAAATCTCCCGAACCTCCCCTGCGCGCTCTGTATTTTGTTCCCTCGGACCGAAAATGGAAATCATGACGATGGGGAAAAGAAATGGATCAGGGGGGACTATATATATAATGCGGCCGCTTATTGTTTTTTATATTAATTATAATATATATATATATATATATATATATATAATTAATACGTATACTTATCCGATCGATCGATAATCCAATTTTCGTCGAAATACTATCAAAACGCTAAATTTTAAATCGTTAAATTTCCTAGTGATCGTAATACAAATTTTTCCGGAACAGGATGTTACAGTGTTTAATGAAAAGCACTTGCATCCAAAAGTACGAAAGTACCCTAAATTTGGTTTCCTACCCTTCCACAATTCATAGGGTGTTTTGTTTAAACCTGACCTGATAAGAGCTCTATTAACTACATAACAGGCAGTATTTATTGCCTCAGCCCAAAAATATTTAGGAACACCATAGTCATGCAACATGGTGCGAGCAATGTCTATTAAGGTCCTGTTTTTCCTCTCAACTACTCCGTTTTGCGGAGGAGTTCTTGGGGCAGAGAAATTGTGAAAAATCCCTAGTTCATTACAAAACAATTCAAAGGATTCAGAGGAGAACTCTCCCCCATGATCACTTCGAATGCTGCCAACTTTAGACACTT